TCTCGTGTTCAGCTTTGTGGATTGTGCGGTTATTGTTCAATGCCACTACACACTTCTATGAGATGTAAAGAGGAAGAGATGGGCGTACATACAGTGAGATCATCCGCATATTTCACAGAAGTGTTTTCTGTGGAAGATGGCAGATCAAGCAGATGAAACGAGAAGAGAAGAGGTGAAAGAATGGCTACTTGTGGTACACGTTCATGAGAAAGTATACACCCTGAACACTTCCCTCCAAGTACAGTGTACTCTTCCTTTCCGTAGTGATAGGAACACGGCCAATTGGCTATCCAGCTATCATTGTTGACGCTGATTAAATTGGTAGTGTAACGTTGTCTTGGTATAGAATCAAAAGCTGAAGTGTAGTCCAGAATAGCGCATCGAACATAGTTATTACCCTTTTCTAAGTTGAACACTATATTATGATGCAGAGCATCAGCGGCATCTAGGGTGCTTCTTTTGCATCTGTAAGCAAAGTGATACGGAGCAATGTGCTCTCTTATTGTAAGCTGAAGTGGCAGTATTAATAGTTTTTCCATTATTTTGAGGAAGGGTGAAGTTATTGCAATAGATCTAAATTTCACATTCTTATCACCAGTTACTTTCTTGAATACAGGGGTTATCTTCATCTCTCTCCACATTTTTGGGTATGAGATTAGATAAGAAGGATCTGTTAAAGATAGTCGTGAATGGATAACATACGACGTCAGCACATTTTTAAAAAAGGAGGTTTGGGATACCACCAGATCCTAAACATGGGGATAAAGTAAGTGACCGGAGACATCTTCGGACATCAGCTTCAGTGAATCTAGGAAGGCAGCTATTCTATAAACCTTTGGTTGAAGATAGCATTACATCAGATGACTGACATTCAGCTGGTTATCGCTTCCAATGTGCCTGTCACCTGTAAGTTCTTTAAAGAGCTTCCACATACTTGGAGAGTTTTTGCAAGACAAGCGTTTTTGAGTAAACATATAATTGAGACGTTTAATCTCTAGGTTTGTCAGACCAGTAGGACAACAAATGTCAAAACAGAGTGATAACATCAGTGGTGATCTCCAGTGAGTCATCTGTAAGTAATTCCCAGTTAGTCGTATGAAACATGTGTTTCGGATTTCAGATCTTTTCTTCTGAGTAATTCCTATATTTGACTTTCTTGATTTGATGTTAGAGTGTACTTTTCCCATGCTTTCCATGTACTTTAGGTAGAACACGAATTATACAGTGATCCGAGCTAGATAATGTAGCGCGTTTACGAGTCACATATATACCCACATTATTATTGAAAACGGAGTCCAAATGAGCATACAAACAAACAGGAAAATCTACTTCATTTTGGTGGCCTAGTGACGTAAGGAAACTACGGTCACATTAATTGAAATCACCACGTACAACTGGAAGTGAATCTCCGGTGGCGGTAACAGCGAACTCAGTGAATTCATCAGCGAAAACAGATAGCGCAGATGGTGTGCAGTGTGAAGTCACTTAGATATTGGTAAAATAAACATATTTGTATTCATTCGAATGTTCTAGACGAACCCTAGAGTTAGAAAGTCGATAAAGTCATTTGAAAACTTGAAACACTCAAACGAAGATGGACTTCAGTCCACGTTTACAAGCGTAGTCACACCGCCACCACACCTCTTTTTATTGTTTGATTGATGTTCCGGACGTTGAGTAACGTTCAAAAAAATTGGCCACAGTAATTGCTTTTTTATGGTTATAACCTGTATGAAGAAGATAATCCACTTATGAGGCATTGATCATGATACGAAAAGTAGATGCAAAGAAGAAGTCTTATTTTTGAAAGAAGTTGTTGGGGCTGATATTGAGTTGTCCTCCGAAAATGGGTCTTAAACACGCTGAGAAACATTTTACCAGTGTGTTTTAAACAGACGTCTCCAAAAAACATCTAAAATGATGAGAAGCATGTCACGTTTCTGATTAGATGATAACTTATCCTGTTGATAAGTTAAGAATGGTTTCAAACCTTGCAAAACCACAGGGTCATGTGGAATACTGTCAGTTCTCTCGATGTTTTGTACATAAAGTAGTCGTGGATCAAAGGACTCTGTGGTGTTTGAACGAACTAATAATACCTTTGTACTGGTTGAATGCTCGATTTCGAATTCCAAATACAATACATTCGTTTGTGCTCGTGTCTCACTTCTTAATTCAATTGCGTTAATCCTGGAATTCCTAATTCATACGACAATTAAAATACTATATTGGCGTCGCGATGGAGCCTGTAATGGAAAAGTTAGATATTCATTCAACTTCGGAAGCTTTTGAAGTTTACTTTGAAAGGTTCGAAATCTGGGCTATGACCAAGGAAGATGATGAGGATGTTAATATTGTGGCACACTTCCTCACATTCATTGGAAGAGAAGCATACAGCTTATTAGGAATTCTGACTATGCCGGAAAAGCCTATCTCGCTTCCTTATACAACTCTCAAGGAACTGCTGCTACACTATCTTAATTATACAAATTTCGAATGTGGTAAAAAAGGAAGATCTCATAAAATGACTCATGACGATATAAAAAATTCTACTACATTACTCTGTCATCGTGACCCAGTGCATACTCAAGGTTATGCAGATAGTTCATTGAGGAGTTGCGATGCAGTTCACGAGGATGGGCATAAGTTTGGTCAATGTTTGTTCTGTGGCAAGTTTCACTCTTTTAATTCATGTAAATTTCGTAATTCTAAATGCTTTAAATGTGGTGATATTGTACATATTCAGTCAGTCTGTAATACTACTGTTCATGTTACTGCAACTAATATCAAGTCTTGTAATTCTGATTCTACTGAGTCAAGTATTCATGATGAACATTTATCTTTATCAACGATTTCAAAAGACAGTGTAGAGTCATATGGCAGTTCACAGTTAAATGAAATCCAGAATTCTTGTGAGACAACAGTTCCTAATCAACCGATTTATCAGAATTCTCATGCTATTGTATCAGGTATGACTTTTCTTAATGATTCACATATTTCTAATGAAATTACTTGCAATTCTGAGGAAAGTATGTTAAATGAACGTAATCATGATTGTAAACCTGATGTGGTTTGGATAGATGCTGATTTTTCTAACGATCCTACGCTCTGCAATGACAGTCCTAATGAATTTCATGAGAATATTTCCGAAAAATCAAATCCTGATGTCATATCATATATTACCTATCCTCATAATGCATTTGATCCTTGTGAAAAACCTGCTCAATGCGAAGCACGAGTACTAAGTGACCTCGAGTTTGATTACATTTCGGATGATTTCATATCAACTGCTGTTTACCCTTATCACAAAAACAGTTCTAATGTTTACTCTAAACAATGTGAGAAATATGTTTTAAATGAAGCCACATTATTCATAACTTGGGGATTTAAAGATCCAACATTATTTCGTGGGGGAGGATAGTGTTGAAAAATCTATGGTTCAAATTCTAGATATTGATGATTTCAGTAAAAAACCGACATGCTGGTTGTATACAATTCCAGGTGAGTCTGTTCTGATTTCGTTTGTTAATTCCAATACAACTGAGTACATTTTAGATACTACAAAGTTTTTATCTTATACAATGTCGGACAGACTCAGGATGAACTTAAGAAGAAGACGTACAACCGATTACAAACAATTATACTTCTATTTAAGCTGTGGCGGATCTGGTGTTTGAACGAACTAATAATACCTTTGTAATAGTTGAATGCTCGATTTCGAATTCTAAATACAATACATTCGTTTGTGCCTGTGTCTTCTTAATTCAATTGCGTTAATCCTGGAATTCATAGTTCATACTATAATTAGAATACCATACACTCTTTCCACTAAAGCAGAGTGACTTCAAGTTCTATATCTTCGAATAAAGACCAAAACGACAGAGTAACCAGTTATCCCTTACTTCCACTTGCTGCAAAATATTGGTGATTTCAGTGATACTGTTGAGATTCGTGATGTCATATGGAAATGATCCAAGATTCGTCAAGTGCTTTAGTGTCCAGAAAGAATGAATTGTATCATTTGAACAAGCAAATTGAAGGTTGAAAACGTTCCGCTTTATATATTCTATTTTAATATTTCAGAGACGAAGATGTTAGGTGAAATAAAGGAACATACAGTTGACAAGTCTCATAGTGAACATTTCCACCAAATATCTATTGAACAGAAGTAGCCCCCAAAAACTGAAGTGAGATTCAAACAAGGATAAACAAAATTCCTTAAAAATCCAATGATATTCATTCAACAAAACAATCACTGAAAGTCAAATAGTTGTAACTTGGAGATATGACGATCCTGCATTATTTCGTATAGGAGGATAATGTTGGAGAATTTAAAGCTACACATATTTTTTAGAAATCAGGATCTGAACTTCGGATCTTCAAAAGAATGCAGGTGTTATATCCTAGCGCAGATTAAAGTACGAATGACTAATGTTATCTATATATTCTTATGGTATAAATATTCAATAATTAGATTGTGTTTATCTATATTCCTCTTAATACAAGCTTCATTTTGATCTATAGATTATTATTATACGATTCACTGTCCTTAAATTATACCCTGTTTGTTAATTACTGTCTCCCAAATTCACAGCAACGTTTTGGCTTCATCGTGTAAGAATGTTATTACCTATTTTATGGTAGGATGCGGTCTGTCACATATATGGAGATGAAATCAAGGACTCACATCTACTCAGCGTGAACACATTGCATCAGAAACAGATCAATTAGAGTCCTTAATATCAACAACGAGGAATTACAAACTTTGTCTAATGACTCCATACCTTTTGAGTAAGTTATCAACTATATGTCTTCGATCGATTAATGGATGTCGACTTGGTATTTATAACAGGGTTCTAGTTCCATTGTAAATATCAACAATGTGACACAGGCGGATACAGTTGGCAAATCTCAAATAGGATAAAACTCATGTCCGAAACATCGCTCTTAGTCACATACTATGCATATCAAGACAATGAAATAAATCATACTGACGAATGATGTTGGCATTTAATGAATATTTTTCAATTATTGATCACACTAGTATCCTTACTGAACACAACGATTTCATCCCTAAACCAATCAAACAGTTGAGAGATTCTACATTGAAATCATCTATGGAAAATGTAATAATGAAAGTGAGATAATTTTCTCATTTTTTTTCAAATTCTTCAAAAGAATATATCAATTGAAAACAATGATATCAGTAAAGAATATAATCTTATAAGGAGGGACCCAAAAAAGCCACCCATGAAGCAGCTACTTAAAACTATGGTAAATATGGTCATGTTTGACAGTATATCCTGTCAGTTTTGTTTATTGTTCAATGTGTTGTGGCAGACAAAGGAAAGCTTTGTTTGATCTTGATCTAGACTTCTTTCTATGGGTCATAGATGCTCATTGCAGATAAGACTCACAGTAAAGAGAACTGACTGCCTAGTTATTCCAGGTTCTCAATGAGTGTCTAACATGGGTCGGTAAGTAATTTCAATGAACGAAGAATATTCTTTTCGATAAATTCTCTTCAGATTCCACGGTTCATCTATCCAAATTAATAATTCGAAAAGAAGGCCAGGTTAAGGGCAAAGTTCATCGTTTAGAGCATGTGATAAACAAAATACAATAAAATTGTTAATGTTAATATGACTCATATAGAATGTCAAATTGAGTCTGCGCATATGTTAAGTAAAATTTTAAGATCCATGACCAGAATAAATATGGGTCAAGTAGGGTGAGACAGAAATAATAGTGCAATTACAATTCGATCAAATAAGTAAGAAGTGATACGGAAGAATGAATGCGAAGTGAATGAATCATGTACAGGGGAGATTTATGATATTTAACCGATAATACTACTACTAATAATAATAATACAAAGAATTATGAATAAAGATTACATGGACAATTACAATTGACTACGAAAGGTAATAGTTAAATTAGATCATTCAATAGTTAAGATTACGATTGACCAATTGACCTTGATGTTGGCCAGGAGAGGAGGAGTGGTTGAATATATTTCTTCTGTACGCATAGCTCCGGTCTCTTCATGCGGATGGCTACTGCTTCAGTCGTTTGAAGGAACTTGAGTCTGAAAATCTTTGGCAAAAAATTACTAACCTTATAAATAATTGAATAAGATTGGTTTATACTGACACTATGACCAGTTTGTACTAAATGGGTCAATATTGAGCTGTTCACCTTCTTCATCAAACCTTTATTTAACCACGCTGGAAGGTGTTCACGAGCACGAAAATGTAAATTCCTAGAACTTCGACCAATATAACTCGCTCCACAGGAGCAGTCGAACTGATAAATACAAAATGAGATGGTCATTTAAGGTGATTCATCTTTTAGCTTCGGTATAACCGTTGGTCGCGTAGAAAACACTAATCGCAGTTCTCCGGCGTTAAAAGACTTTTGTACTGTCCTACGCAGTCTCTGAGTTAATATTTCGCTAGCCGCATCCCCTCTGTATCGTAGACGCATGAACATCGATTTCCTCTTCACTAGCGCCATATACTAGCTGATATTTTTCTAGCCAAACTACAAATCGGTCCACTAAAAAGGATTATTAACAACTTCACATTTTACTGTAGATACGTGGATGACATGTTCATCCTCTGTGAAGATAATACGTCGTCGCAAGAGGTTCTTAAGCGATTTAATGAAATGGATCCAGCTATTCAGTCTACATCTGAAGAAGAGAAAGATGGCCGAATAGCCTTTTTGGAATTTCTTTTGACTAAGAGATCGGATGGATCGTTGAAACGTAATATAAACAGAAACAGTACATGGACTGGGCAGTTTACCAATTTCCTGAGCTTTGTACCTCTACAGTACAAACGAAATTTGATTAAAAACCTTAGCTACCGTATTCGCACTGTTTGTTCTACTGATATAGTAGAACAAGAGCTTACCACCTTGCATAATGCTCTCAGGGAGAACGGCTACTCCAGAAAGTTTATAATTAAATAAATGGTCACGAAGGCGAAAGTAGGCGAAATACAAACGATTAAAAATAATTTTGTTTTTCACCTATAGTAAACTACAACTTTGTTATTTGGATCTCATAATAGCCATTTTTATAATATGGCACACTTGAAAGTCTAAAATTTACAAACTCTCAACTGAGCCCGTCCTTTTCTACCTGCATTGGAATGTGAACACTTAATTTCACCAATTTGAGCATTGTATTTCATTCCATATCGAATAACAGATATCTTACAAAACTACACGTATCAATATCATCTGTATTGTCTCGTAGTGCCAGCAAATTCTCGATATTTTACATCAGATTACATGGGAAACAAACTAATTTTGATATTACAGTTCAGTCGAATTGTAAAAAACCGATGACTGTGATTTTTCTTTACGGAAGAATATTTCACAATTTTAAGATTAAAACGCGAACTACTTTTTTATTTGATAGTAGTTAAACAGAACTAGTAAAATACTGTCTCAGGCTGAATTGGAGCATTTTCCAAAATTATATTTAGCTACAAAACAAACGAATCAATGGATCTGGAAAACTAGTTTTCGACGATGAAGGAAATCTACTCAGTGTACCTAAATTATATCCAGTCAATAAGAGGCAAGATGAATCATTCACGACTGATTCACATTCAAATGTAAGTGAAAATAATATTTTGGGAAATAAAATTCCAATTCAATGGCGTTTTGTATCCGAGTCATACTGTAACAGTGCAAATAACAATCAGTTTGGCATAAAAATGAATAGTAAATTAAGAACAGTCAGATCGTCCATATCGAATGTAAGTTTTGTCTTTCCTGTATGTACTTTCTTTCAATTCAATATTGTGTTCTAATAGAATTGATGTTAGTGGTGATCGACTTGACCTCAGAGGCTTGATGCTAACTGGGGCTTGTCAATAACACTAGCCTGTACTCTTGAGAAAGACAGTCCTGACAGTTGGACATGAATACATAACAACCAGATATGTAAACGTAAAACTCACCGGGAAACAACTGATATCTTGAAGGATGAAGGTGAAATATCAGTTTCAGTTGAGAGTGTTTGACAGCAGACTACTCTGTAACAATACGTTGATGTGGTAGAAATATCATGTGAGAAATCATAGGATTCACAATCAGCTTCTATGTAGGAATAGTTACAATGATGATGAAACTACAAACCTGTGGTAACTGAGATGTCGGAGTTATGATTCACACAAATCTAGATAATAGTAGGATGATTGTTGCTTCTAGTAAAGTGATATTTGGTCATAAACATTGAATGATCTGACTCCAAACGATCGGTAATGGAGCAGTGGTAATTATTTCTAAGGTTTCATCTGAATCACAAGTCGGGTTTTATCCTATAATTCTCGATCTTTGATCTCATTAATTTCTGTCAAAAGTGCCATTCATTCAGTTTCCTCTGAACGGTGACATTAACATTATTCCACTTTGTCTTCTCTTCAGTTCATTTTAATTCGAACATGGAAATATAAAACAATGTTATCAGTAAGATGAATATGAACTGGTGAAACTTGGTCCTCCAAATGTGACTTGTATTCATGTTGACCGATATGATAGTTAAAGAAATTACTATCGATCTGGTTGAACAGTAATCGACTTAATATTCAGCTAAAATTGTTTCACTAATCAATCATGTAATCCAGTCTGTAATGATGATAGAGTTCTTTGGATCCATTTGAGATATGAAACTTCGAAAGGTATAATGGCAGATAGACATGATCAACATGTGATTTAATCCATGGATTTAAATAGGCAGCGCAACCTGAAATTTTATTTAGGTTACTACTGTGAAATTAATTCACAAATTTCTTACCGTAAGAAGTAAATGTGAATAGATCTGGATTGTTTTGATTCAAAATTCATAGGGGAAAACTAAGTAAGCACTAAGTTGAATAATTTGCAGTCCAATTTATTAAAGCAAATTTGAAAAATCTTTCGATTCAAATAACTGGATTTGTTTCATAGACTCTCAGGTGTACTTACCAGTGTAACATTTTGTCACTTCTTTGATAGCAACTACACTTAGCATCGTTGGATGCCAGTTCAATGATCTAGAGGTTAAACGCTCGCAGTCGGGAACAAAGGTTCTGGGTTGGAGTCCCCCATTAGGGATCATTTATGAGCACTGCTGAGGCGTCTCATACTAGAACGAAACGGCCGTTCAATGTTTTCAGGTTTTCCATGGTGGTCTATCTCTTCAATCAACTCATGTATTCAATTATTAAAGTAACTTGTATTGTTTATTTCTTTTTCCCTCAAAATAACTATTCCATTCAGATTGATTCAATTCAATGTGATCATGAATAAATTGTATTCACTTGATTGATATTTACTTGGATGCATTTTTGTCAATCAAATTATTGATTACTTCAACTCAACGGTGGGGGGGAGGTCAAAGATCAAATCTTATAAATGAGTCCTATTCACTGAGTTGTTGCATCATAGTTGTATGAATACATTGACATTTAGTTTGTGTTATCAGTAAAAGTTATACAACTTCTGTTGTTCTAGTGTTTCGGTGTATCTGTTCTACTCAAAAATTAGAACAATCAAAGTGAGCAATTACTTATTTTCATAACTGTATTCTGTTATCATCGTATTTATTAATTGAATTTATGAGGTGACATGGTGACATGATTCAAGGGCTTCAAAATAGAGTATTAAATGAAACATTGATTAGCAGTGCTTACAAACAGCTTCACGTTCGCTGAACGACTTAAAGAATTCAGGCTCAATCTCTGGTGAGGTCATGGATTGTAAACCGGATAGAATTCTCATCCTAGGAAGATATGAACGTCTAATGCACTCTGATTTATGGTGGTACTTGAGTTAAGGTCAATCAATGACAAATACTAGGAATAATTTTTCCATGTACCTAAGAAATTATCTAGCGGTATATATGTGAAATTTAGACCGATAGTAATAAATCCATTTTTCCCCAAAACAATGTAAAATTATTGATACTTCCAATTCAACCTACAATTAGAGACCACATTGCTCCCTATCAGTTTGCTTACAGATGCAAAAGAAGCACCTTAGATGCCGCTGATGCTCTGCATCATAATATAGTGTTCAACTTAGAAAAGGGTAATAACTATGTTCGATGCGCTATTCTGGACTACACTTCAGCTTTTGATTCTATACCAAGACAGCGTTACACTACCAATTTAATCAGCGTCAACAATGACAGCTGGATAACCAATTGGCCGTGTTCCTATCACTATGGAAAGGAAGAGTACACTGTACTTAGAGGGAAGTGTTCAGGGTCTCTACTGTCTCATGGTGTACCACAAGGAGCCATTCTTACACCTCTTCTCTTCTCGTTTCATCTGCATGATCTGCCATCTTCCACAGAAAACACTTTTGTGAAATATGCGGATGATCTCACTGTATTTATGCCTATCTCTTCCTCTTTACATCTCATAGAAATGAAGGGGTTTTTGTCTCGTATTGACTGTTGGTCTGTTAGTAGTGGTCTCATACTTAGTCCGTCTAAATGTCAAGTTGTTAACTTTAGCGTGAGACATGAACGGCTTTGCTGTGTTTTGAAGAGTGCTGAAGGCAGTTAGCAAGTTGTGTGGTGAATCTCTCGAGGTCATAACTAATATGGCTTTGTATAGACATCTAAATTCATGCAAACCCCTGGAAGGTGTTATTTTATCAGATACTAACCATCCCATTCACTCTCATCTTTCTCCTTGTATATCTTCTTCTGGTAGAACGAGACGTAATTACATCAAAAGTCATGCACGCAAGCAAAAGTATAAAAGTTCTATAATACCTTACCTAGCAAATATACTTTGTGACGAACAGGTTGTTAGAGCTAACCTAGTCAATAACCTGTATTCTTATTATGTCTCTAATTTGAAAATTTCTACAGTTTTTCTGTGATTTTTCGACCTTTTTTGCTTTTTTTGTTTTTGTTCCAGTATTTTTGTGTAAGAAACTTGTTGAAATGCCCTGTGCTGAGAATTCTATCTTGTACCAAAATATAAAATTGAATAAAACCAATAATAATTATGATTAATCTATATAACAAATTAGAAATAAAGGACTGTTGTTTAGGCTAAAAGTCCGTCAGAACTTGTGGATATTTTATCATGATTGTCTAAACAGACGAGAAATTTACGTTTCAGAATACAGTTTCCTTCATACTTGATACTAAGTGCCATACATCTAAAATATCGCTGAACTATTCTCCTTTCACAGCAATTAGCATACGCAGCTACCAAATCTTTAATCAAATCATTGGATTGTTGAGTGAAGGTGATAAGGCCAACTCAACTTTCGTCCTTTCTAAAGACTAAGCTTTGAATGAAACAACTGACCTCATAATGCTCATGTTAACATTAAAATCATAAAAGGAATCATAATCAGTTTATATAATACAAAGTTTGTCACTCAGCATTTAATGAGGAGTAAATAATCAGGTAATGAATGATGGAATTGCTTAATTATGTGGTGGTGGAGTGTTCTGACAGATCACCTCAACTCAACGACTGTCGGTGATTCCAAGTGATGTTATTACGTTGTAAGACTTCAACGAAATAGGCATTCGCAACGAACTCATTAGTGATTTCATTTATCACAAAATCACGTACACACATTATTACCAAGTTACATATAAAATGTTGTAAAACAAATCAGTAATTATTGAGTGAAAACAATAACGCGAATGTGAAAAGCAGTGCTTAGTATTTTAACAACAATATTACATCAGTTATAACGTCAATCGGTTAAGAATGATACATGAATCCATAAAGAAATTGTCCGAATTACTGGAATAAATAATTAAATCCAAAGTTTTCTAATGAAATACGGAATAAAAACAACTTGGTCAGAATGGCAAGAACAAGATATAAGACGTTTCTGAGAATTATGAACTACTTTTCTTCTTCTTATACAACCATTTCCAAATAGCATAATCGATGCAAACGACAAAACAGGCGATGATCAATGGTATCACAATATATAAATACTGAAATGATTTGTCCTGGTTATTCTCTTTGGTTATCTGATTAGTCATATTCTGAAGTAAAAGGAAACAGTAGCACTTATTACTAAATATCAAATATTTATCGAGTATTGATCAGTTTCTTCGGTAGTTTCCTTGAGGCTTTCTCTGACCCGAACTTCGGTGATCCCCGAAGTTGTTTCAGTGTGTTTGATTGGTGTTGATGTACACAAATAATCACCATCCGTGCTATTCTGAATAAACGAAACAGTAGCATTCATCACTCAACATAGGATATTATTCAATTGATCCATTATTCATTGTACACTACTGTCAATAACGATGATAGTAAAGAATCCAACGAATAGTTACACAATTTGCATTTGTACAATCACTTAAAACATCTACTACCGATTTTACAATCGATGTGATAAGTACACACTATCCTACAACTAATTGACGACCCATTTGTGTGATGAAATTTGTGTTCCGAATGTCACATCCAACTACAATCCGAATGTGAATCAATAAGTTTATAATTGACGGCTTTATTGAAGCAATCTATTCAGGTTACATATTTCTCAGCAGAAAATCAGAAATCCTTGTTCTGGACTTCAGCAATGGAAGTCTACAAACTCTCTAGTTATTAAAACATAGTACACAACTTTCAACAGGCTACGCTATTTAACTCAATGTGGTTTCAACGGTTTTTTAAAACGATCCACATAGATATACGATTTGATATTTAATTTCTGAAATAACCCCACATTCAGTTTGCTGAAAAGTTATTATTACGTTTTCGATCATTAGTGTTAAGCA